TACCACACTCCTGTATGTTCTATTGAGGTAACAGATCTGTTGATACCCCACTACTGTATGTTCTATTGAGTAACAGATCTGTTGATACCCCACTACTGTATGTTCTATTGAAGTAACAGATCTGTTGATACCACACTCCTGTATGTTCTATTGAAGTAGTAGATCTGTTGATACCCCACTACTGTATGTTGTATTGAAGGAACAGATCTGTTGATACCCCACTACTGTATGTTCTATTGAAGTAACAGATCTGTTGATACCACACTACTGTATGTTATATTGAAGTAGTAGATCTGTTGATACCCCACTCCTGTATGTTCTATTGAAGTAACAGATCTGTTGCTACCCCACTACTGTATGTTCTATTGAAGTAACATATCTGTTGATACCACACTCCTGTATGTTATATTGAAGTAACAGATCTGTTGATACACCACTACTGTATGTTCTATTGAAGTAACAGATCTGTTGATACCCCACTACTGTATGTTCGGAGTGTGGTATCAACAGATCTGTTACTTCAATACAACAGATCTGTTACTTCAATAGAACATACAATACCACACTCCTGTATGTTCTATTGAAACAACAGGTCATTATTAAAACTTCAATAAACGAAGTAATGCTTTGTCCATTTTACAGTTTTTGCCAATATTATTATAATAAACAGCATGGCCACTAATAAAGTATATTAACAAATTGTTATCAGCTTTGGTTATTATCAAGGAAAGGTCTCGAGTTGACAGGAACATTTTGGTATGCTACACTATCTCAGCGTATCTTCTGTTTTGTTTGTTGTTCTTTTAACGAAAATTTGATATATATATAAAACAAATCAGTACATTTTGGGATTATTGTGAACACTATTAGATCCACTTATAAACTCTAGTACCATCCATTAACCATTACTAAAGAAATCAAAGCTTTGAAACTTTTATCACTCCTGGCAAGGCAAATAGATTTCAGGTTGTATCTACAGAAATATTGTACACAAATCTAGAGAGGTTATAATTTCATGGTAGAGATCACCGGTTAGGCTTAGTTCAGAGTATTGTGTTCAGTCTTGGGCTAGTTACCTTAGGGAGGACATTGAATTGTTGGAAAGGGTTCAGAGGAGGACTACTAGAGTGACTCCTGGGATGGAAAGGTCGTTGCACAAGGACAATATAAGTTATATGAAATTGTTTTCTCTTGAAAAAAAAAGAAGGTATTTAATTGAGGGTTTTAAGATTGTTATGGGAACTGATAGTGTTGATGCGTTATCACTTTTCATACTTAATTATGAGAATAGTAGGGACACAAATATAAATTTTGGTGGGGTAGGAGTCATCTTCAGCTAAGATAGTTTTACTTTTCTGACAGGGTGGTTTGTTTTTGGAATGGGTTGCCTTCGGATGTGGTAGATGCAATTTATTTAAGGGAAGGCTTGATAAATATTTGTATGATAAAGGCTGGCTTTGAGTGTTTTATAATGAAGTTCAGTTTAGTAGATGAGATGGCCTAGATGGGGTTGTTAAAATGGCACTTTGTTAAACCACAATGTTAAAGATATATTTTTAAAGCAAATGAAACAACAGGTGGTATGTTAAAAAACATTTCATTACTGAACCGTAACGTTGCTTGTTTTTCTCTACAGTGAACAAGTCTTCCTTGTATTTACCTAGCATCAATGTAGAATAACGACGATATACTTGTCTCTCAAGCACCTTAAATGTTCTTATCAACAATGGGCAACTAATAGATATCTTCGTATCCATCATTTTGTACAGAAATACATGTTTTCATTCCAGCATCTGGATAATCATCCTCGCTCGATTGTAGCCAGATTCTGTTACTTTCTCTCCAATACAAAGATCTGTAAAACCTGAGAGAGAGAGAAACAAAAAAATGGTAAAAGTTGGAAAATATTTTACTGGAGAAGGTAAAAAGAAAGAAAAAAAAAAGCGGGTTCTATCTACAGTTCTATCCCGGACCAAAGTTACAAATGATTCATACTTTTGTCTGTTTTATGTCAAATTCCAGCTACAAACTGGAGTGATAATCTTAGCGGATGAAGTAAAAAATTTTGTAAATTTATATACAGTATTACATATTAGGGAATAAATGTGTTAAATCACAAAGAAATGAACATTAGTACTACTGTGTATTCATTTGAACAAAAATAACTTGGGGGAAAATAAATACTTCAGTATTGTAACTGACCATGAGAATCATCTTTTGATGTTTGAAACACAGTAATTCAGATCTGTCATGTTTGCCCACAAAATATTTGATTTCAAAAGAACTTTAAGGATCCTTCTTAAATTATTTGGAGCATGACTGAGAAACGATCACCTACACTTGACATTATATTTGGTGTAATCATTACATGCATGATTTCTTAACTACAACGAGACAATTTTTGGTAAAAACCACTATCACTTGAAATAAGGCTCGAATTATTTTCCATTCGTTACTTAATTTTGCTTATTCTGAGTCTATAGAAACCGACGTATAATATCGTGTTTTTATCCCTTCTGTAAATGCTTGACAGGATATGGCGAAGATCATGTCTATATGTGGCCAAGCATCTTCCACATGAAAACTAGAATTATAAACATCAGACATTAGTAAAACTCATCAGGTCATGTCCCTTTGGACTAGAGAAGAACCTTATTGATTTTGGGAGTAAAAGGTCAAGGTCATCTGGCAAAAGAAAAATGTGCAATAAACTAAAGAAAAGATAAAGATTTATTGACTATTTTGTAATTTCTGTTTCGACAGTAAATGGGCAATACACCAAACAACATGTTAGTTCTATTTCCTCGCGAATGTCATATCGTTCATACGCCAGTTTATTTTTCTTTACCTTTCTTAAAACTATTAGCTTACTTCTTGCTCTGTCATTAAGTCCAATCCTTTCGTCATCGGAACCGGGATTTTCTGTTTGAAGTTGAATCTCCCATGTCCGTATCAACTTCTCTGCCTCCTCCACCAGTCGTTCTCTAGCTGCCCCCTTTAACCCTACTAAGTATTCCAGCAGAATCTCAAATTCATCATCAGATATCTATAAAAAAATATATATATATTTTTAAAAAAGTGTATGTACAACAAAAAAGATTAAAATTGAGATATTTGTCGTGGTAGAAAAATATAATAGTATATAACTCTTTAAAATCACAGGGAATAGTTATTAGTGAGTTGAAGATATTTTAGTTAAAGAATATTCTTTAAATAGCAGTGAAATTTTTACTATTATCATAAAAACACAAATTGTTCCTTTACAGTCAAGCTTCTTTTACATGGCTTGTTCACTGATACCCTCGACTCAAGCTTCTTTTACATGGCTTGTTCACCGATACCCTCGACTCAAGCTTCTTTTACATGGCTTGTTCACCGATACCCTCGACTCAAG